ACTCGACTCGTTCAACGGTTACGTCATACTTAATATTTTTCGGTTCGTCGGCTGCTCGAGACGTTTTACAGAAATCAGCGTTTAACGCGACACGCGTCAACTTTTTACCAGTGAATCGTGCGTGACATTAACGAATACTCATGCTATACCGTATCGATCGCTTACAAGAGATAGATAGATAGATAAAGAGAGTGACGCAAACGTTTTTTCCCCGATAATACTGCCAAAGAATCGTGATAAACCGCTCGGAGCGTTCGCGATGATAAATTTTAGCGTATCACATTAGAATTCCTGTTCCATATGGGTATTCTCCTATTTCATGCTGTCCGTTTCTTGCCGCACGTATGGTATGGTCGTTCGGTTAGGTCCTCGATTTCGGTGGCAGGGACTCTCCATTTCCGATATTTCCTTCGCACGATGTTCGCTTATATTTTCTCTTGCCAAGACTTGCAAGATTATTCGTGAAAATATCGGTCGGTGGCGTGGTTGGAGAATCGAACCGAATCGGGTAGCACCGAGCGCGGAAGGTTGAATCTTCGGGAGGCGAAAAGAAACAGCGGTTTCGACGATGGAGCGAGTCGATGACGCGTACAAAAAAATAGCAAACAAACATTTATAGGACGGTGTAAACGCGATCGAATCATCTGTTTTACCATCTAAAGCGGTCTTTTAGCTTTTATCGATTCGTATAGCTAAAACTAGGACGCAACCGCTCTATTTCGCTTGTGTCGGTTAAACGGAGGAATGGTATCCAGATCCAGTCTTTGACCTATTTAGATCGAAACGTTGAACGTTGAACGTCGATGAGAATTTATACGCACGCATATACGCGTACGGATTGTAAAATATTATTTCGGCATGGACATGCCGGTGCAGCGCGTTGCTTCGATCGTATTGTTTGTATAACGGTATTGCAATTTACGAGCATCAGCGGTTACCTCCGAATACAGACACCGAAACAGTTGGCTAACTTTGTCTGTATCATTGTTACGGAATGAGTTTAAATGGCTTTCCTCGAAAATTAACAGGATTCCTCCCAAGTTTGCCTCGTGATAACGCTGCTCGCTGTTTGGAAATTGTTATCGATCGATGCTCGAGGGAATATTCGGGAAGCTCCGTCGACGTTGTTTCGAATAAAAGGTGTATAAAAAGTTAATACGTCGAAGGCCACTGGAAATTTAATAATTCACCCTTTTCCGGAAACGTGAAATTTTTCATCGAGTAGTTGATTCGATAGATTCAAGTTATTACTTTGCCATTATCGGACATTTCCCAAGGTAGCTAGGAGATTTTTAATTAGAAGAATCCATCGGAGCGGTGCATTATATCGAATGGCGTCGCTCGGTGCGTAGGTTGTCTCGTCTTCATTGTTTAATCTCGCGGCAACGCCAACGCCAACGCCAACGCCAACGGGACAAACGGATGTTGGCCCGCTGCCAGCATCTGGATGATTTTTTAATTAATCGATGGTGTTAAGCGACGGAGAGGAGAGAAACGAAACGCGGGACGAGAGGATTTTTCTCGGTCAAGTGTGCGCACGGTATGCGACACGCGCAATAGCCTTGTTTTTAATTACATTTTAAATTTCTATTTTATATTCGCAAACCTACCCGTTATCTTTATATTTCTACAAGTTCTCAGTACCGGGATTGCTCGCGACGCGATTAATTGTCTCGGACTAAACCAAGAGTAACAATGGTCGACTGTTTCGATCGGAGAACAAGACGATTGGCTATTTTTAATTGTCTGGCGCAAGATATTCTCGGAGATGGAGAAGGCACGAGTACCGACGGAACATTTTCTAAGAGACGTATAACGAAATCTCTTCTCGACGATCATTAGCCAGGACTCGTAATCGGATTTTCGTTGACCCTTGCGGTACCGTCGCGATTACCAAAGAAAAGCTTCTTGCGGGATAGCTTTCGCTTAAGAATACATCTTTATTCTCGTGGGGATCACCGATGTTATTACATCCGGAGTTGTCTGCTCGTTACGGTCAGAAAAGTACAAGAGGGAGATTCTGCAAGTATCTGAGATGCGAGTAAGTTTCGTAAGGGATATCGGTGCCTGATTCGATCGAGTAACGAGTATAAATTTTCGTTAACTCCGATCGAACGATCCTCGATGCAAATGTTTCACGGTGCGGCGCGGCGCGGCGCCAGCGATACGATAAAACTTAGCAAAAAATAACGCGTACGCGGCATCGCAGACATTTTTCGTATGGTCGAAAAACGACAGAGCATGAAATTTTTTAAACGCTCGACGAACAAATGCGATGCCAAAAGAATTAATCGTGCGACGACACTGCTCCGATTCGAGAGTTATTCGTTTAGTACGCACAATGCATATCGGGACGCGTATTTTTCTCGATTATTCCGCAAGAGTCCTCGATTCCATCTGGGCCATGTCAACACCGCTGACTATGCCATGACAGGACAATACATCAGGATTGACAATGGTACGATCCCGCGTCACATCTGTTTGTCCTTTTCCATCTCTTCACCCTTTGTTCGACTTTTTCTCATTCCATCGCTTGTTTCGCGGTAAATCGAACGCGTTGGAAAACTTTTGAAACATCGGCTGGTCCGGTGCGCGACCATTTTCTAACGAATATCGTCTAGGTCTTTTGGTTGGATCGCTATCCCTTTGCGTTTCGACTCGATGCGTAAAATTGCTAAATAAAATAACGAACGATTGATCATTAATTCTCAACATTTGGGGACTTCGATGTTATTATTACAATAGCGATCCTTACGCGACAAGAGATAGGGTTTAGGTTTAAATGATACAATATTTCCGAGTGTTTGCGGAATTCCGTGTACTTTCGGTCTCACGGAAAAAGAGAAAGATCGAATTTGTCCTGGCATGACGGAACTGACCGAACAATGGCCAACTTTGCCGCGCGTTTCGCAGCAGCTGAATACGCCGATAGTTACAAACGTTTCAAACAGTTTTTTCTTGGCAACGTGAGTCTACGATGAACATAACGGTGTTTTCTCGAAAGAAAGAAACGTTAATTCGAGTTTAATTCGATTTGTGAATTGGAAACGTACTTTATCTTTTGTACAAAACAGGTGAAAAGCAACGATCCGCGAGACATGACGCGACGGCGAACCATCGCACCCCAGAACGGTCAACGTGATTGCATCTATTACCCCCTGCCGGTTTGTTTCCTCCGTTTGCAAATATCGGAGAGCGTATGTTTTTCCACGAGTAGGAAGCAGTCGATGCGACGGTTGAATCAAGCGAAGCATTTCCGAAAATAAACGCATTAATCGCGAGCCGGCTTTCAAAGTAACGGACGAAATAGCGGCAGAGCAGGCAAATGAACGCTATTTTTCGCGCCGGCAATGCTGATGCGGAACGAGCCCGCCATTATCGCTCATTGTTCGCGATCGAAATTCTCTTGGGCACTCGTCAAAGTTTACAGAGTGGAGCGCGTGGCTCGTAGCTCGTGGCTCGTGGCGTGTGAAAATAATCGCGCACCGAGAATTAGTCGTTAGCGTTATTATTCGGAAACGATTACGAAACCGAGAACAGCTTCGCGAACAATGATGTCCGTTGATTAAACGGTTACGTATCATCGGTCGGTAGGGACTAATAAGCGTGATTGCAGTCGACAAAACACGAGAGCGAGTGTGTTTCGCGAGTTCGAATTATGAAATCAGTTTCGTTAGATGATTACCTTGTTTCCTATCGACGCCGTGCGTCGACGCCGACGCTGCGAATTATAATACAATGGAATCGTCATGCGATAAAAATATACGATCGCTGGTCGGCACCCGGACCCGTGACACGTGGCGTTAATTAATAGTCCTCGGAAGCAATAATAATCTGGGCGCGCTCATTTTTCATCGTGTTCGAGAGAAAGGTCGGAACGGAAAAGACCACTGGAATAGCAGGGAGAAGATTTATCGCGGTTGACGGAGAACATCACGCCTTACGCGATAATCTTTGGCGCTTCCGGTGATGGTGATGGTGATGGCGATGGCGATGGCGATGCCGATGGTGGTGGTGGTGGTGATGGTGGTGGTGGTAGTGGTGGCGGCAATCGTACCCTCGCGACGCGCGACGGTAACGAGAGAGCTTTCGAGGAAGGGAACGTGGAGGCAAGCGATGATAAAATATTACATTTGTCCGCGAACAAGTGTACGAGGCAGTCGACGATATTAATTTAATATGAAGAAATCGGTGATATATTCAAGAGAGTTTTCAGGGGTCGGAATTTTTCAACGTAATCGTGGAATAGAAGGGAGTGGTTAATGCTCGCGAAGAGAGGAAGAAATTGTCGCCGACGCGAACCAGCAGTAGCTACAGTTAGCTAACGATAAGTTTGATTCGGAGCTACGGCAATATGCGTCGAATCCATTGGCAAACAAAGCCAACTGTTCCTTTCCCAGGTGGCGTGAAAAGACATCCTAAAGACCGAGAATAGTGGAACTCGTAATTCTCTGGTATTGGTTGAAACGCGTGCTTTCTCGCGGAATTCAGAGCAGAATTCGACAGATTTCGGAGATAGTATAGAGCGCAGCTCGTAATTGAAGATTTCTAGTTACGAGAGACGGTCATTTGGTCCAGGACGATTTCAAGTTTCGACAAAGTTTCGCGGAGTAAACGACTCGAAGTTAATGGAAAGCTCGTAAATCGGTATCTATGAGGAGTTTGCTCAAGGATGAATCTTTTTCAGAAATATTCATTCGATCGGACTCTTTTCAAGGGAAACGAAAAAGCTTTGAAATTTTCGAGCGTTTCACCAGCTCCCAGGACCCACTTGATGTACGCTGCGTTTATACGTTTATATGTACATTTGTATGATAAATAAAGGAAAGACTTGTTTTCTAAACGAAACACCACCTTCTCGTTTGCCCGAATTTCTTCGTCTTTTGGCATTTTCGATTTATTTGTTCCAGGCCCAGAGAGTTTGAAAGTCTGATTGAAACGCGAAGGATAGCCTAAAATTAGCCAAAAATTATGTTACTTTGCGTTTAATTGTCTCCTACCTTGTCCCTGATTTCTTGTCGCATCTTCTCCCGTTCCTCCTCCATTTTACGATGTTTCTCCTTCCTTCGTTCTTCAGCCTCCCTGATAGCTTCTTGCCTTTCTCTCTCGGCCTCCTCTTCCTTCTCCTTGTCATCTTCGTCTCCACCTTCGCCACCTACGGCTCCTGTACAACAAACGATAGAACAATTGTAGACTCGATCGATCTTTCTCACTTACATTTGTTTTGTTACCGAACCGTGCCCGTTAACGTTGGACGAGTAACGATCGAATTAATAAGTTGGATAACAAAACACGTGAAAAGCAACGATAGATAATAATACGGCGATAGCTCGAGGAACGTTCGAGCTTGTTCGTAGGTTCGATTCGCGGCAAGATTCGCTTGCTTCATTTAGGGTAGGTTCGGTGTAGGTACAAACTATCGCGATAATAGACGACGAGAAACTAACGGTTTACCCCGGAGAGCAAACATTGTAAATCAACCCGATGGTTAGCGTACTGTTCACTTGTAGTTTAATATACCATTGCGGGGTCGTATCGAGTTTCCAGCCAAGATTATTCCGCTGCCGGAAAGTCTGGTTCAACTGACACGACAAACAGCAAACTTTCTGCGCTGTACAGGGTCTACATTCTGGATGTACCGTTTGTTATCTCTGGAAAGATTCCCTTTCGGTTAATTCGATCTCTGTCGCGCACCACTCCTCTCCGAGACAAGCTCTGTTCCAGACAAATTGTGCGCGACACGCTTCGTTCCAGAGTAATTTACGATTAAATTCATTCCTCTCCCGTTTGGTTTGGTTACTTTCTTCTTTTAGTTTTATTAGTTTCTCGATACTCGTTCGACGAGAGCAGAATCGAATCTCTCGCTGACGATCAAGGTTTTCGAGAAAATAAGAGAACGATTCGGTACTCCGTTAGCTAAGCTACTCTGAAATTTTCGCGCTTAGACAACGCGACGTTAACGGAACGGACGCGGACGGTTGTTACGCGTAGCTAGCTCGCTTCGAGATTCGAGAATCGTGTTGTGTAGAGCTGTGAGTAGCAGCGTGCGCGCGCGTGCGATGTTTGTTTGCGGTATCTCGAGAAGGTAGACTCCGAAGGTCGAGCCAAAGGGAAACGAAAAGGATTCGTCGTTGCTGCTGTCTGCCAGAGAATGACGTGCCAGGAGCTCCGGGCTCGAGGAAATTAATACTACTTCTGTCCCGTCGTTGGCGTCGGTGTCGTCTGCCATTTTCTCTTTCTTTCCGTGCTATCCGTCCGCTATCTCGTCCTTTCTATTTGCACTGTTTCCCGCGGTACTGGTTTCCGCGAACTGGAAAGGTACTTTGAAGTCCGAGCCAGGGACGACATTCTTTTTCTCCCTCTCTCACTTATTCCGTCTGTTTTTATTCTTCGATATCTCTTTGTCAGACTTTCCTTCTATTAGTTTCTCTCTTTGTCTTTCTATAGACTTGTGTTGGAAACGAATCTGCTTTAGTTCGTTCAGTTGTTTTAGTTGTATCAGTTGTATGGTTCGAGTGTTTGGCGATTAAGCGAAAACGATAGAAATTCACGGTGCTCGGTTGCTATTGTGTCGCTAGAATGTACAACAGTAAAACAATGCGTTCGACTTACTTTTCTTGATTCACGTAATTCAGCGTAAACACAGCTCATTTGCTCAAAGCTCGATCGATTCTCTCTGTCCATTACATATACTAGGACCTAGTTAAAAGTCGCTTAAAGGTCTACTTCGCGTACCGAGACAATTGTCGATCGAATTTTGAAAATGACTTGGTCGCTTTGAGAAAATTAGCTTTCTTTTAGTTTTAGTTTTGTACTTGCGTACGAGTTGCGAGGATCGTTTGGACGTAAACGTAGAGCGTGATGTAAATTTTTGACGTTAAAAACGGGTCGCGCGGTTGCGCAAAGAAATTCTTCTTTAACGATAATTTTTTGTCAAATTTTGCTCGGATTTGAAATTGAATAGCAACGATGATTTAAAAGGGTTAGGACGCGACGCGACGCGACGCGACGCGACGCAACGCGACGCGCCATAGTCCGGAGTCATCAACGGGTTCTCGTCGATATTTCAGGCCGAGACGAACCGAGTCTCGACCCTCTTTCGGGGTTGTCTTCGCATCTAGGCCAAGAGCCGTCGCAGCTCGCTTTTTGTTCCCGCGAATCCGCGACGCGGATCATTACGCGAAACGATGCCGTCGCTGTATCCCGCTTTCCAGACATTTTTTCCTCGGAATTCTTAACGATTACACGCCCCTTTAAAGTCGACGCTGCGCGCGCTCCACGCGGTAATTAAAATATTTCGTTGTAGGCACGCGTTTCGTCCAACTATCGTATATTTATACGTTACAAGCATCGTGTCACAGAGCCTTACTCGGGGACCGAACGCGAGCGGTTTCACGAGCGAAAACTAACATTTTTAGGGCGTAGGCAACAAGGCAACAATTTTCGTATTCTTCGCCTATCTCAAATTACGCTTTCTACGATTTCAACACCTAAACGCACGGCCTATTTTTTTTTAACGATGAGTCGCGAACTCTGCGCTCTGCCCTCGGCGATATTAACAAAAGAATCAGCGAATGGTTTCCAAAAGAAATTGCAAAGAGAAAAGAGAAAAAAGAAAAAAGAAAAAAGAAAAACGATGGTCGCGATTCCTCTGTCGAGATCGCTATTGTTTTTTTTGTCCGTTAGCCAAACGACAAGGACTGCATGGAATTGGAAACCCGGAGTAAATCCAGGGGTGTTTAGCCCGGAGACTGAAGAAACGTGAAGAAAAGGTGAAGCATAAAGAGTGCAAAGCACAGGAAACCAGCACCGTGGGCTCGATAGTCATCGGTAATCATCCACCAGTGCCAGTGGAACGAAAGCGACGAAAAGTAATCTCCGACGAACGTTCCTTTTTTCATTTCTTTTTCTCCCTTTATAACTGTGCGTTTTCGCAAAGAGGACCCTCGGAAGATGATCGATTCGAGCGATTCGAGCAAATTCGAATAAGAGGAAGGAGCTTTGTAAACGTAACGAGAGCACGTGTGATCGGCGTGTCATCAGGTCATTAGCTCACCAATCGATGTGCACGGTTTTATCGTTGGCGTTTGACATTTTTGTCGGGTCTTGAGAATTCTCGTTAGCGCGATTAAAAATTCCACGAGTGTCGAGCGTTGCGAAGTTGCTCGAACGCGAAGGCACAATTTTAGGTTGCAATTGCTCGGAGAAAAGCTCGAAGAGTACTTTTAAGGAGACGGCTGGAACGAGAAGAGATGGCACGAATGCGCAGTTGAATTCATTAACGCGAATTCGGCTCTCGTTTCTTTCGCATTGTTGTTCTGAAACGAAGAATCGAGAAAATGGCCGGGAGTGCTAAACACTGTTACTCTCTGTCAATTAAGGGCGAATAACAAAAGAAGAGATTAATAAAGGAAGCTTTTAAGAAAGCTGTCGAGAGAACTGAGGGATATCGAACCACGACTCCCTCTTATCGTTTCTGGCGACGATAAAATTTCTTTCAAGGAAACGGTTCTTATCCTTTGCCTCGACCAAAGAAACTATCCTTCGAAATTCGTCGACGCAGCGCCGACGATCCGGACGTTGGTCGTTTCGTGACTATTTTCCAGATAAATGATTTCGAATAATCGATACGGTGAAAAGAAAGAGCGTATGTCCGTTGTTGAAACGACATCGATAATCGTCGATAATCGAAACGAAAAGTTATTCCGGATGTCAGGGTGCAGCGATGCGAGACACCAGTTGAGATCGATGCAAACTTTCCTTTCATTTCATTTTCCGATACGATCTATTTCTCTCGATCGATTGCAGTTTAATTTCCCGAATAAAGGAACAAATACGGCATCTTTGTTAACGTAGGAAACTTGTCCAGAGTCGAACACAGGGACGTCTAAACGCGCTCGTGGCAGCATTTTCGTCAGGAAAAGGTGTGAGAGAGAGAGAGAGAGAGAGAGCGTAGCTTTTTTCCGCGCTTCGTGGCGCGGCGCTGCGAATTCTTTCTGTCCAGCGAGACGGCAGAAATGTGAGAGGGCACGCGAGTGTATATGCGGGTTTGAACACTTTTGTCTGATAAAATGAAATTCTCCGGCAATCGTCCGGGAATTTTGCAACTCTGAAACTGCTAGAAAGAACGAAAGTACGAAAGAACGAACGTCATAGAATTGGTGAAAATGCCGATTGTAAGACGTGGTTAAATGCGAAATGTTCTCGATAAAAATTCCATTATCCGTTCCGTTCCGTTCGATTCAACGTATTTACCTTTTACACAGCTATTGTATTTCGCCATCATTTTGCCGATTAAGGTTTGATCAGTTGCGATGGTCGAGCAACCAATGTTAAATAACATTATCGATGGAAACGCGCACAACATTCGACTCGATTCGCTCGATAGAGGTTGATAATGTTGTCGATTGCGCGCGCGCGCGGCCAATTCGCCGATAAAACATTAAGCAACTAAGAACGCACAAATTTCCATTTAGAAAAACTATTTTATATCAGACTTCCTTAACGTTCGTCTACTTTAATTACCATCGTGTCACTCTCTAACGTCGAGTACATTTAATTTTAACGGATTTTTTGAAATCGACGTCCACGTTAACGAAGCCACGGCTCAAAAGCTAGATTCGAATACGCTGAGCGTAACGTACAGTCGGAGTTGTACGATTGAGAGTAAGGGGAAGCTCTTTAGAAATAGAGAGGGAGAGGAAATGACTATCCTGCGGTAAAAGGAACGAGGGAGAAGGTGGTTTAGGTTCCGTGGAAAAGCTAATTTCGTCGAAAGTGGAAGGTGGTTGCCAATCATTTGACTAAATACACGAGATACGAATACGAGAATACTAGATGTCTACGAAATTAGAAATATTCTTAATAGATATTCGAATATACTTGTCAGAGTTTAGTCGAGCGGCCGTTTTAGTTTCAAATATCATTTCGTTTCTTGATAATTCTTCAGAGTCTTGGATGCGTCGCGAGTCTCGTAATACATACATATACATATTTTGCTAGCTTAACAGATTCAATAGCGTCGATGGAATTTTTTATCCAACGGGATACGCTTCGAAGCTTCGTTTCTGTTGCAGCATGCCATCGGGAGAGAGATAGACGCAAATAGATGGATAGATGGACGGATAGATTGATAACTAGAGAGGGAGAGAGAGCGCGCATGCG